GACTGGTGAGTCCACACACACACACACACAGACTGCTGAGTCCTTACAAACACACAGACACACATACTGCTGAGTCCTTACACACACACACAGACTGCTGAGTCCATACACACACACAACACAGAGACTGCTGAGTCCATACACAGACACACACAGACTGCTGAGTCCATACACACACACACACTCTGCTGAGTCCGTACACACACAGACTGCTGAGTCCACGCAACAGACCACATACACCAGACCGCTGAGCAACACACACACACACACAACAGACCGCCGAGTCCATACACACACACAGACCGCCGAGTCCATACAATACACACACACACACAGATTGCTGAGTCCATACACACACAGATCGCTGAGTCCATAATAATACACACACACACACAGACCGCCGAGTCCACACGCCACACACACACAAACAATACCAGACCGCTGAGCCATACACACACACACACACAGACCAAAGCCGAGTAACACACACACACACACAGATCGCTCACAGTTCATACACACACAACAACACACACACACACACAGACTGCTGAGTCCATGCACACACACACAGACTGCTGAGTCCATACACACACACACATACACACACAGACTGCTATGTCCATACACACACACACACACACACACACAGACTGCTGAGTCCATGCACACACAGACTGCCGAGTCCATACACACTCACAGACTGCTGAGTAAATACACATACACAGACTACTGAGTCCATACACACACACACACACAGACTGCTAAGCAGTGGCAGATTCAGAGCCTGATCTCGGGAGGGGCACTTGTAGATTATTTAAAGAAATAATCCAGACACAATAACCACTACAGCTCAGTGTAGTGGTTTTGGTGTCAATAGTGCCGGGACCCCCTCCCAGAGTAAGTAGTCAAACCGTTTAAGAACAGTTTGACAACTTACCTGAGGTCTGCTGGGAAATGGGGCTGTAGTAGGGCATAGGAGCAGTGGTGTGTGTGAGTGGTGCAATTTGTAAGGGGTGCAGTGTGTGTGTGTGTGTGAGGGGGACAGTGTAACAGTTGCAGTGTGTGTGTATGGGGCAGCAGTGTATGGGGAGCAGTGTGTATGGGGATAGTGTATGTGTGTAGAGTGTGTGTATGGGGGAGCAGTGTGTGTGTATGGGGGGCAGTGTGTGTGTGTATGGGGGGGGCAGTGGTGTGTGTATGGGGGGGGGCAGTGCTGTGTGTATGGGGGCAGTGTGTGTATGGGGCAGTGTGTGTGTATGGGGGGCAGTGCTGTGTGTATGGGGGGTAGTATGTGTGTATGGGGGGCAGTATGGGGCAGGAGGTGTGTATAGGGGGCAGTGTGTGTATGTGGGGCAGTGTGTGTGTATGGGGGGGCAGTGTGGGGGGCTGTGTGTGTATGGGGATGTGTGTGCATATGGGGGGCAGTGTGTGTATGGGGGGCAGTGTGTGTGTGTATGGGGGGGGGCAGTGCAGGTGTATGGGGGGGCAGTGGCTGTATGGGGGGCAGTGTGTGTATGAGGGGCAGTGTATGTGTATGGGGGGCAGCAGCGTGTATGGGGGCAGTATGGGGCAGTGTGTGTGTATGGGAGCAGTATGGGGGGCAATATGTGTGTATGGGGGGCTGTATGGGGGGGGCAGTATGAGGGGCAATGTGTGTGTATGGGGGCAATGTGTGTGTATGGGGGGCAGTATGGGGGGCAGTGTGTGTGTATAGTGTGTGAACACCACCCCCCCAGGCCTACCAGTCACTGGAGGCTGTTGCTGGGGGTCAGGCAGCCATCTTCTGCAGCAGCATGGTCTGCTGCTTTACTGCGGGGGCGGGGCTTATGTGCTGGAGGCGGGGCTTCGTTTGGGGGCGGGTCCTGTGCCGGGGAGCCAATCAGTGCTCCCTCCAGCCACAGACAGCCCCCAGCACTGCATTCCCTCGGGCTGTCAAAGACACACACACTCTTACAGTCCGAGGGAATATAATTGAAGACCATGGCCAGCAAATTGCCGGCATTTGGGGGGGCACAGCATGATGTAGGGGGGCCATGGCCCCCTCTGGCCCCCCCCTAGCGATGCCACTGGACCTGACACCCACATCCCCAGTGGCATTCCGTCACACTTAACAGTATTGGGTTAAAACTAAAGGCCACTGCACCCAGGCCATTTTATTGAGATGAAGTGGTCTGAGTGCCTTTAGTTGTCCTTTAAGTCTGTCTGATAAACAAGTGTAATGAGAGCAGGCAGAGTCAATACTTCCTGAAAATTGGACAATTTCCCTTAAAAAGCTGCTCAAGGAATTTTAAGTACTGTAAAAACAGAGACACAATGATAGGGGCCCATATAGAAGACAGATATTTTTTACCTATTTTTCTAGATGTTATTGCAAGGAGTAACTTGTGGTCTTTACTGTTTCTTGGTACAGGTAATTTTATAGGAAAAACGTTTTCTGCATTAAGTTTACTAGGCTCTATTGATCCAGTAATTCAGAGATTACAGGTGTGGTAATAGAAATTAAATTTTATACATATCTAACACAACCACGGTGAGAGATCTGCAAACCTATTTGCTTATTCCCCAAACAGTATTTTCTAGAAATCTAAAAGTCGGAAACATTTATCCCCTTTTTAAAGTTTTGGATTCTCACATTCACATTCCCTAAATATTTTGCACTTACACATTCACATTATA